CCACGAATAGCACATAATCTGCAGTACTCTATAAGACATGGTGGGACAGCCGTAGCTGAGAGCCGACAGCCTGACTCACCGCAAAGCGGGTCCTGTGGTGCGGGCATTAGATGGGGAATTACATACTACTAGAGGGCGGGTTCGGTCCACCAACTTATAGAGTTCCTCCAATGAGTCCACAACGAAGGCACCGGTACGTGGAGTCAAACGATCGGCATAGAGGCCACCCGTCCCGAAGCATCCAACGCCACGTGTCAACCGGTCCGCGCTGTCCAATTAAATGTAATCCCTTCACACGGGCTTTTATTGCAAACCTATACAATACAATGAAATTGTACTTTATATAAATTATTGATAATAATTTTTAATATACAATCAAATTGAAATAAAGTTATAAAAACAGCCTTAATTTACTTTTAAAATTAAATTAAGTTTTATTTTAAATTTAAATCTTTTTAATTATTATATCATAAATTGTATGTAAAATAACTTTATAACTGTAGTGTTTTTATTATATAAACTTTGTAAGATAAATTTTGAAAACATTTCAAACAATGTTAGGTTGATAGTTTGTAATTTTATAGTTAAATTTAATTGCTATTGAAACTACCACCCTTATTCAATGCGCCTTTGAGACCGTTGAAAATTTTTAATTCATTTTAATTTGGTATAACACTGATTATAGTTATAAATATATATATTACTTGATTTATATAAAAATTCTGCAAATATTTTATAATGATACTTAAAATAGCTATACTTGTTTCATTATTAGTGATTTACTATGTTCAAATCATACAATCGCAAAATGGTAATTACTTTAAAATTTGTCCTACTAATAAAATTCATATATTTTTAAATTCAACTAGCACCATGCAAATGTGATTGTATCAAGGACCAACAAGGTTAAGATTATTGTCAGATTGCCGGTGGTAAGTGATACTAAAACCCATTTTTACTAACTTTTATTGTATTTTATATTAACATACAAATATTGCATCAAGGTGTATGCACTTGTGGTGTGTATTCTGGAAAACTTTGTGGTAATCGTGTGAATCAACCTCCCGGTGCCAATGGCCCCATATTATTGGGCAACTGCCAGACCAATGCCATCTACCAGTGCTCGAAGATTGGACAGCCAGCTAATTTAGTGTCCATTTGCCCTGTCGGTGCTGCCATACTGGTGAACCCGGTTTAGACTATTGTCTGGTGTCCGGTGATTAACATTTATTGAGAGGGAGAGAGAAAGTTTTGAATATTACTGAACTCATGATTAATGATGTTTTCATAACTTTATACATAACTAATCGAAAGAGATTTTTATGAATTGAATTTCAGGCCAAACAGACGTTTCTGATCAACACTTTTATCCCAAATGTTTTTGAAGTATTTTTTATGAACAAAAGATGTTTTCAAAGTTTTATATTTGAATTTAAATATTATTTCACTCGATATTGAAAATTAATTTTATTTAATGCTTTTTATAACAAAAACATTTTTTAACATCCATTAGTTTTTTACCTAGACAATCATTTTTAACTTTATATTGATATTTATATCAAATCTACTAAATTCATTGGATTTAACAAAACTCTTATAATTTTTTTTCTTATAGTATTTAATAACATAATTATATAAATAAATGGCAAATAAACAAAATGACAAATTGTTTTTATTTTTCGTTATACAGAAATTAATTAACAAAGGTCATGAATTTTTGTTGTAAAAATTATATAATAAAGTTTTGTTGATAAATCCCACGATTACCCTGCGGTAACTCACTGTCCAGACAACCAATTGATGGCAACTCTTAAGGTGTAGTTCCACTATACATATGGCCATCACTTTGACAATACAAGTGTTTCAGATAATCATACGATAAATAATGATGTATCATATTTTACATTCATTTCCCAAGTTTATTAGCAAACATTAGCAAGTAAAAATGTTATCAATTTGAAATTATTGACTGTCTTAATAATTTATAAAATATTTGCGAAACTTTTAAAATTATTTTCAAATCTTAATAAACATTAAATTATTTAATATTTAACACAAAATACTATAAAATCATTGAACTGTACACTAGTTATAGTAATATATGTTTTATTATGAAACCTACACATAAATATAAATTAATAAAATGTTGCATACCCTTGCTACAATATTAATAATTATGTAATTAATTACACTATTTACATCTTTTTAAATTAGCCTTGGTGATTACCCATTATTTAAGGTGATTATATAAACAGATAAACAAATCGTTTGTACAATTTAAGATTCAATTTTGGTTTTTGAATGACCTTATACAATTAATACTTTAGTTCAAGAATTATTATAAAAAATATTTTATTAAATTATTATATGATAATTATTAAAATATTATTAACTTTTATTTTATACACTACTTTTTGTTAGTTTAAATACAGTTTATTAATAATTTTATTAAAAATATTCGGGATTATCCATCTCATTTAAATAAGTAGTAAAATTATGATACAAACCAAATTAAAGGAAGTAATATAAATTCCTTCCTGGATGAAAATACTTTACTTGAATGACAATAATTATATTAAATGTATGTAACATGAGCAATTTTATATTACATTATGTTTACAATTTTTATATTAAACCCTATTGGCAATTATGAACCAGTATGTTTGGTGCAAATACTAAACACATTATAAAGGACTCAAAATGATCCGTACATTATAATGAAAATCATAATAATAGTGAAAAATGCTGGGGTGCGGTATGGGAGGCGTGCGAAGGAGGTTTATAGTCGACTATCAATAGTAAAACCCCATAGACTTGTAGTGAATGTCAGAATCCATTGGATGGCGACGCTATCTATGAGATTCTTAATGAAGTGATAACCAAAACAAAGCATAAACACCTCCTGCAGTCCACCCAAACCCCACAGCATTTGTCAATATTCTTATAATTTTCTTTATAATGTAAGAATCATTTTGAGTATAGCCTTATATTTTAAATCCATAATGACGACAACAGTATGAATTGTTAGCGAGTTGATCCAGATAAATAAAAAACACTCGGAATTATCTATCTTATTTAAATATGTAGTAAAATTATGATAAAATCTTATTAATTATATATTTCTATTTAAGTATTTATATAAGATTTATAATGTAATTAAAATTCACATTAAATTGAATGATTGCATGTCTCTAACCAAATATAAATAGATATTTCATTTGAAACTATTGTAATTTAGTTTGTATTAAATTAAAAACTTTTATTTGATAACAAAAAATATATTTATAAATTTATATAAATATTAATTTAATGCAATATAAATAAAATTAGCAAATAATAAATCATGATAAAATTTGAGTACAGGGAACTAATCGATAATTAAAGTAATAAAATTAATAATTTATAAATTTAATATATTACATATAACTTCTTTGATGAATATACTTTACTTAAATGGCAATAAATATATTAAAAGGATGTTGCATGAGCAATTTTATATTAAAGGATAGGTTTGAAACTATTATTTATGAACAGTATGTTTGGTGTAAATACTAAACACATTTTATTTCTTACGTATTTGATCCAGATCATTGCCAATTATTTTAATCTCGTCGTCTGAACACACATTCATTTGAATGAATATCTCATTATTTTCTATCCATGAGTTCCACTCGTTTTTAGCCACATATTCAGACAATGCTTCAAGGCTCTTCATGGAATAATTATCTAGATAGAATTTACAAATAAACTTAGTTTCTATATATTAAACCAGTTTTAACAATCGGTATAAGAAATTGGATAATAGTTCAACAATGTATCATTTTATGCTAAATATATCAACACTTTGAAAATAATGGTATTTTCTCGCCAGAGACAGTACTATTTTAATTTTGGAACCAGTATACTTAAACCTTTTGCTTAACTATATCTAACATTTTTAAAAATTATACAAAATTAGGGTTAAGATTACTCTCATACACAGGTTAGGGTTACCGATCGTACTCCGTGGGAAGGTTGTCCTCTTTTGGACCCCTCAGAGCACTGCCCCGGTGTCTGAGGAGGACATTGAGATGTCCTCATTGAACATAAATTGCATAAAATATATCTTTTTTCTAATTTTATGTGTTTTATAGTAAGTTTTGGAATATAAATTTGTTTAATTCTATTAGTTTATTATATTCAATACTATTTTTGACAAAACACGGTTTAAAAAATGTTTTATCCAATAAAGTTTATACTCGTCTCAATAAATAGTACTGTAAAATTCCTGAGTTATGTATGGCCTATTGCATGCGAAATCTGTACATAACTGAGAGCGTTCATAACAGAGAATGTGTTCCAAAAATGTTAAGAACATAGCCCAAATATAGCAACCTGGCACTTTGTGTTTAATGGTTAAAAAATAATGTATTTAAAATGATGACTATATCTGATCAAAACTAAATTGTGTCTTCTTATTAACCCGCAATATCAACTTTTATAACTGATTTATATAATCGATAAAAAAATTTAAGACAATTATATCAACTATATCAATATATATCAATATATATCAATTATTTCCATATTTGAGGTCAAAGGATAATACAGGATTAGAGTATTTGACTCTTAAATTAATTTATTAAAACAAAATAACTAAATATTCTAAAAACTAATTCAGTATCATAATTATAAGCAAGAAAAATTTTATAAGAAAATAAAATAGTGTTGCCAAAATATACCAGACAAATGCCAAAGCAGGCAATCAAGATTAGATGACATTTTCCAAATATAATTGTAAATTAATATCTAAAATAAAATCAATATAATATCCTATACAAAATACTTTGACATAAAAATATTTTATAAAATATTAATATTTAGTTTTTAAAAGTTTTGACAAATGTTAAGAAATTTAAACTTAAATTTTACCACAATTCGATATAATTCTATGTTAGATTCTCTTCTAATTCTCTGTATAACTTCAGATTTATTTAAAGAAATATCTCATTAAATCTTGATTGCCTGCTTATGCAATTGTCTGAGATATATGGCAAACACTACTTTATTTTTAGAGCAACTTTTCTTTGTATATGCATAAATCATGTTATAATTTTAACATACAAAACAAAAAAATTTTAGGTATTTTTTAAAGTAAGTATCCAAATGTTATGTTTTTAATGTGCAAACTACAGGTTATCTCCTAATATCTACACGTCATACATAACTCGGAGTAGGTTTTGGTACATAAGTCACTCATTTTGCATACATAACAGGGAAATATACATAACTGGGAAGTTCATAGTAGAGAATGTATTTAACATTATATGTATAGGCAATCCGTCAAAAAATATTTTACAGTTCATAACTGAGAGCTATAATATTACATAACTGAGGAGTTGAGAACTCAGGAATTTTACAGTAGTTTTATAAAGTTAATTATTTGAAATGTTATTATTTTGTACAAATACGATCCGTTTTAAAAGAGGATTTATATATAAAACAGTCTTTATTTGCGTGGACTAACATGAATTCAATGAAATAATATACTTTGATAATATGCTAAATAGTATTAAAGCAGAGGAAAAATGTATAATCCATTTTTATCAACCACAAACACAGTATATTCAGTGTGACCAACCGTCCTCTATTTAGGGTGTCTGTCTTCTGTGCTTTAAATGAGAAATAGTGGATATTGAATGCCCTTTGTTTGTGAAAATTATAAAATGCCTTATTTAGAAAAAATAATTGCAACATAAAACTGCTGTGAAGATTGCATTTCACATTATAATCATAATAAAATAAATTATCATTTAACTAAATTTCATTTAAGTGCAGCAAATTTATATGAAAATATGTAAATATAGGTAAAAAAACTAATGAAAAATTAGTCAAATTCTCCAGCGAGTGAGATAAGCAGAAAAAATGTTTTCAATAAATTATAATTCAACTCCACTATAAAATATGTTGTCCAGTATTTGCCCTCTATTTATACAATTATTTTAACAAAATATCCACTAATTACGAAACTTGAGTTGGTCACACTCAGTATATTACAATATGTCTTACGATTTAATCCTAGATATTTGGTATATAACGAATATATTTGTTGAGATATTTTATGTTTAGCTTCATATATTGTCCATTTTTTCACATGAATTTGTTCCTTAATTATTTCAAACATTAGTTTGTTAATTGGGTTAGTGTCAGTTGCATCTAGAGATATAAATACTGTAAATAACAGAGTTTGCTCTTTGAAATAATATTTAACTATAAATATCTAACCATTAGTTATATTTCCATCAGTCATATGGATTATACAAAACGGTTTGCTTTTCATAAATAGATTGTAAAATATATCACATTTCCTGTCTATAATAGTATTCAATACAGAATTAAATTCTTTGTCTCCAATAATGGGTTTATTTGTCATAAATGTCTGCAATTGTGATAAAATGTGCGAACATTCGGGTCTTTGCCTCCAATCTGNATTGTGATAAAATGTGCGAACATTCGGGTCTTTGCCTCCAATCTGTTGAACCGTTTTTGCGATACTTATTAACACTCATTGAAACAAATAATGCATTCATTTTATGCATCCATTCATTCATATCTTTGTTATATTTTGTGTTTGTTTTAATCCTAAATTTAAATAATATTTTGGGTTATATTAGTTATATTATACATATTAATTAAAGTTATTTATATATATTTTTATTTAAAATATTATTTAAAAATCAAATCATACTTTCCGTCGATTATATCGTTTACATTGAAGCCAAAGATTTGAGACCCAATTAGAGATAGACTGTAGATATCTATTAAATGGCTGTATTCATTAGTCTGGGCTTCCGGTGCCATATAGTCAACAGTTCCCACATCTGCCGTATGTTTGGCTTTAGACATAAGAAACGGATCACAATTTGGGACCTCTTTAGCCAAACCAAAGTCACATAACTTTATTGTATAGCCTATTGAAATCAACACATTATCTGGTTTGAGGTCCCTATGAATGATATGCTTTTCATGCAAATATTGCACACATTTTGTGATTTCACGAAAAATTTGATAAGATATATTAAACTCGAAACTAGTCATCAATTCATTAAACAATAATTTCTTAGTTTCCAAAACATTGTTGAGATTATCGATACATAACTCCATTTGAAAGTAAAGACAATTGCATTCAATCCATGAAAAGTAGTATTGAATCACATATTGTGACCGAAGTTTCACAAGACTTTGCGTTTCATTCAAAACATTTTGTTTGTGTTTTTCTGTCAATCCTTAGAAAAATCCAAATATAATAAAAATGATTATAAACATTGCAAATATTATAAAAAAATATTTACCATTTAATTGACATTTCTTTATTGCGTATAGTTCATGGTTACATTTATCTCGAACTTTATATACCAGTCCATAGCCACCCTCACCAAGCTTATTTATTACATCAAATGACTTTTCAAATGCTATAGAATTATTCAACTTATCGTGAGTTTCTGTAATAAAACATAATAATAATAAATTCAATGCACAACATATTAAGGCAAAAATTATGGCATTATTGTAATATTTACCACAAATTGGTGTATTTTGTTGAATATGTACTGAAATGGTATTTAACGTGATTTGCAATTCATCTGAAAAGTAATCATCAAATGATTCATAATTTGTTTCAAACAGACTTTTGTCAAACATATTTCTGACATGAATTTCATATATTTTATCACCAAATTTGCCCACAATTCCTGTAGTATTTGTTTGTTTGATTTCATTGAACATAAAATGCGATAATATTTTTAAATGTTTATCATGAAAGTCATATAGATATAATTGACCATGGCTAGATAATAAATATGCAAATACAGAACTTTGTGGAAGTGCATTGTGTATGTTAATTTCAATTTCTAATACATGTGGTGTCCTTATTATATCATTGCCTACCATTCCCCAAATAAATACCTGTCCCTCATAAGTAAGTGCAAGGGATGTACGACTATTGCACTCTATTTTATTAATTTGGTATTCAGTGGCAAATTCAATAGGAGTTGGATTTAATTGAATACTTTTATAGACACAACCAACCTGTCCCCAGTCATTACACCCCCACCCGAATACCAGTCCATTTGATGTCAATACAATTGTGTTATAATAACCACAACTTATTTGTGAAATAATTAAATTGTTTGTTTGGAAATATAATATAGTATCCGGTTTATGGTATACATTCTCATCCATATACACATGCCGTCCCAATTGTGCCCTATTATTGCGACCAAAACTAAATATCACATTATTATCCGTATTGACAGCCAATACAAAGTCATATCCATTGAAAAACTCGTGTATATTTTGATGGCATAATTCTGGCACTCGTTGTGGTCTATGAATGTGTGTGTTGTGTCCTAACCCGAGCTGACCCTCACGATTATATCCCAATCCATACACCATATCATCAAATGTCACAAACAGTATGTTATGTCCGGATTTGTCTTTGAAAACATAAAAATATTTAATTTCTTGTTTTAAATGTTGTGGTATTTGATCACAAATTGTATAATTATTGATTACAGTTGACATTTTATTAA